ATGCCCTGTTACAATGTTCCTATCCTCCTTTTATACTAAGATAGAAAAACCTCTAAATTGTAAGAAGCAAAATACAAAGAATATTCGAGGGAATATTCTTAATGTCCCCTAATGGGCTTATACTATTACAAGGGTCGTACAATCTCTTCTTTTGCCCTAAGGTCGTTTCCCTTGGGACGTCGACTCGAAGATACCCAGTCGTTGGTCGTGATCGGTCAAATTTGGACCCATACAAAAATAGTCCTAGTACTACTGGTAAGCCTAGGCGGAACACACTACTATCTGTCAACCTACAACCCTAATCCTCGACCTCACGTCTTTCTATCGTGGGTCATATCCTCGGTAAGCTGGATCAATGACATGTCCTACCTTTCCCCAATACTTCTTAGGCCTATCCCTTCCCTTCCTCAGACCTGCAATGGACAACCTCTCACACCTCCTGATCGGAGCATTTATGTCTCTCCTCTACACATGTCCGAACCATCTCAACCTCGACTCCTGCAACTTGTCCTCCACAGATGTTACTCCTACTTTGTCCTTAATAACTTCATTCCTGATCATGTCTTTCCTGGTTTGACCATACATTCATCTCAACATCCCCATTTAAATATGATACGATACAAAGCATAAATATGAAATTATGAACTAATCGAATCAGTAAATTTATAGTACCAAATAATTGTAACCTCTTTTTTAACCATACTATAGTGTACCTCGCAATAGTAGTTACGTGCCCAATCATCTGACTGAACACAAAGGGTAAAACATATTCCTCTTTTCGGCTAAAAATGGTCTCCCATTATCTCATTCCATTTTATCTGGAGTCTTTTAAAGTTATGGATTAGGTATGGATAAGTCAAAACTATTCGTCTTCTTCTATTTTTCTTTTGAATTCTGACCGAGATTTTTTTTGTAGCATTAGGTAAAATGTACTTCAATAGCACGTAATTTTTTTTTATAACAAACTTGATATTATTATCTAGAAAATATAGTTAATTAAATTGTAATGATAGTTTAATAATTCTTTATACAATGAATGTAAATAACTTTAAATGTTGCTTTGTTCGTTCGTGTATTAATTTAAGACCAGTTACTAGAGAGTTGAGACATACCTTTGGAATTCATCTAAAGTTTCATTTTAACTAATTTTCAGTTTAAAGTTTTTAAACTACTGCAATGTTAACTACCAGCGAAATAACTCTTTCGTAATAATTTGCAAGTACCAACAGAAAATTGAAGATATAGCTGCTTAATTTTAAGATCTTAATTTTTTTTGTTGTTGTTTGGAACTGTTTTGAGAACCTTAAAAAAGAAGAAAATTGTCGGACTTTTCAAAAAAAAAAAAAAAA